CTCCACACTGCCAGCCAGTAGCCTTAGGGTGCCTAGCACATACAGGACTTAAAAATAAATACATTTTTAGTGAATGAAATACAGTTTTAGAGAAGTACTGATAGAAAACATTTCTCTAAAGTCTCCGAATATCCCAGCAAGCCATCTCTGCAAACCAATTTCTATAAGATGAAAGACACTGAAGTTCTTTAAGAAGTAACAAGTATCCTGGGGGGAAATAGGGAGGTGGGGGTGGGGGTCCAGTCAGGAAAATGGAGACATGTAATACTTTAAACAAAAAATAAATAAAGAAGTAACAAGTAAAAAGGTTAAAAATTTGAGTGTTCCCCAAGGCTTTGAGCAGGTGATGAAATTATAAACTTAATATTTACCTTGATACCCCTTGATGCTCAAAAAAATATTGAAGTGCCCAAGAAGCTTTTGTGGGTTATATATTTTCATGTTTGCCATATTAGAAGTTAAACTTGAGACTTGAAAAAAAAATACAGAAGCACATATTCCATTGGTGTGGCTATCAGGACAATAATGTAGAACATGTCATTTAGCCTCTGCAAAATCCATTGAGCATCTTTCTGTAAGTACATACTAATAATTCCAAACATAAAATTCCAAATTTGATTATTTCAGGGAATGGCATTTTGCACATGAATATATATAATTAGAACCACATAAGTAGTATGTATGCATCAGTCTCATAAAATGGGGTCAGTTTTATTTAGTATACATGCTGCTGAATTGAGCACCCCATTTTATTTTCGTTAGTCATAATCATCTTCATCTTCCTCAGTTACTTCGCTTTCCTCGGCTGGAAGCGCAGCAGCTTCCTGTGCAGTCCTGAAAGCCTGCTCCTCTTCCACACTGGGGTCATCTGCTTCTGTAATTTCTGGTCCTCTGGGGTATTCTTGACAAGCTGGTGGTGGAACTGGAGGTGCATAGCTGTCTGGACTATATTTATGACCCCAGCCTATGTAGAGATTTTCAAACTTTCTATAAGTTAAAAAAAAAATGTAGATGATCATTCTATCATTTGTTTTCAGTAAGAAAAGTTTTTTTCAGTAAGAAAAGACCTTCCTCTCCTGTAATGATAAAGTACTTGAAATAGCATAGTCCCATAATTTCAAAACAATATATTTAAAATGCATTAGAGATGAACTACCCCTAAAGGATTCTTCCAGCACAGGGCATTTCTATGATCCGAACAGCTTAAGCTGGTTAAGAAAACCATGGGGTCTGACCCTGTCAAAATGTACCCTACACCAAAACCATAGCCTTTGATCATTTATTTTCGCGGTGGGGGGAGTTACTATCATTAGAGTTAGGAAGAATTTAAAGGTTTCCAAACTAGTCTGGTCAAGGCACATGCACTGGTTGTGGGCTTGGTCACCAATAGGGGGCGTGCAGGAGGCAGCTGATCAATGATTCCCTCTTATTGATGTTTCTCTCTCTCCCTCTCTCTTCCTCTATGAAATCAATAAAAGAAAATATATTTTTTAAAAGTTTCCAACCTAGCAAACCTTTGGCCGGGGTGGAGTGGGCTAGTGATTGAAGACCTATGTGATTTCCCCGCCCAGCCACGGGCAAGTACAAAGGCTTTTCCCAGCATGCCTCACAGGACAGTTGCCGGCTGCGCTCCAGATTCGGTGCAGACAGCGCAGTCTCAGGGGAGTGCAGTTGAGGACTGTGGCCCCTCTGGCCTGTCATGCTCTTCACACATTTCCGTTCTAGCTCAGATGCCTTCACTCCTAGGTCTCTATCGAGGCCTTCAGTAGAGGTCTAAGGGTACCTCTGCTAAGGCCTCCTTATGGGGTGGGGGGGGCGGGGGGTGTGTTAGAGGAGAGAAGGAGGAACCTTAAAAACACTCTACTCCACTCTCAGTATCCAGTCCTTTTCCCTAGCTCTCCCCCACTTCCCTGGGCCCCCTGGCCCATAAAACTGCAAGAGCCTAATATCAGGGACTCCCTTGTCAGTGAGATGACACCCACATCTGTGCTGATCCATCTGACCTGCCACCAGTGTGCCATTCCATGGGGAAAATGGAACGGGGGCGGGAGGTGGAGAGGAAACCAGTGCTTTGTCTTGCTTATACTGTCACAGTGCTTTCTCTTTTTTTCATTTTTGGGTTGTTACATTAATGACTACTCTGACATTCAGCAGCTCAGCTCGCTCTTCAGCTCAGCTTTTAACACTGGATTTATTAGGTAAGAAATGGAAGTATAACACACAGGGAAGTGAGGGCATTTAGTATCCTCTTCATCCTAATTCTCTTGAAAATGATAGCCTAAATAATACATATTTTTAAGTATCTTTTATCAAGGTACCCAACAAAAAATAATGAGAGATTTAAACTAATTTAAACACTGCTTAGAATTATTTCAATTAAGTGAATATCAATTATTCAAATAATTATAGAAGAAAAACCATATTTTAGCTTCATTAATTAAATAATTCAGAAAGGCAGAAGTCTAAATTATTCTAATATTCTAAATTTGATGCTTTACTGTATAATACAGAAGTTTGATAAATCTTGCTAAAATTGAGTTAAAATAATAACCTAAGATTTCAGAGGTAACTTATACTTTCCAGAACTTAAATAATCACAGTAATAACTTTGAAAGTTGTCAGATACTTACTTGCCATTGCAAAAGGCATATGCTCCAGGCCAAAGGTTGGATCTGAGAACAGCAACAGCATATTGAGGAATGAGATTTGAAGATAGTCGTGTTGTCCAAGGTGGTGTATTCTGGATCTCTGTAAATCAATGAGAAAATCAAAAGCTTAATGCCTACATAGACAAGGATATACTGTGTAACAGAGAAGCTATTTTTGTAAATAATAAAACATAAAAACATTTGACATAGAAAGAGAAGTTAAACATCAGCAACTTAACATAAAACCAGGAGGGAATTTTATGAACATTGTGGAGCAATGAAATTTGAATGCTTATACACTATACTAGTGGCCCGGTGCACAAAATTTGTGCACGGGGGAGGGGGTGTTCCTCAGCCCGGCCTGCACCCTCTCCAATCTGGGACCCCTTGAAGGATGTCCTACTGCCGGTTTACAGGGATCGGCCTAAACCGGCAGTCGGATATCCCTCTTGCAATCCGGGACTGGTGGCTCCTAACTGCCCACCTGCCTGCTTGCCTGCCTGATTGCCCCTAACCCCTCTGCCTGATCGCCCCTAACTGCTCCCCTGCTGGCCCGATTGCCCCTAATCACCTCTGCCTCACCCCACACCGGGACCCAGGATT